CGGGGCGCCGCCCCCGCCCCCCGCCACCCCCCCCCCCCCCCGCCCCAGTTTATATACTGGGCATGATGTCACATGGTATGGAATACCCCTTCGGCCAGTTTGGGTCAACTGCCCTGGCTGTGTCCCCTCCCAACTTCTTGTGCCCCTCCAGCCTTCCTGCTGGCTGGGCATGAGAAGCTGAAAAGTCCTTGACTTAGTCTAAACACTGCTTAGCAACAACTGAAAACACCAGTGTGTTATCAACATTCTTCTACTAAATAAACACAGAACTCTACCAGCTACTAGAAAGAACATTAACTCTATCCCAGCTAAAAGCAGAACACAAGTTCTGCTCAGCTGGAAAGGCAGTGGCTGAGACATGGGTCTGAGGACGGGATGGGTGACCAGGAAACAAGAAAGACAGGAGAGGCGGTCGCTGGATGGCCGGCATGGAGGTGGAACCAAGCTCTGAGCCTTGGGCAACATTCACACTAACACAGCCATGCTGCTCCACTTTTGTGGCCCTGCCCTGGCCAAGCTCGCCCCACACTCACCAGTGCCAGTCGGATCTCTTTGTTTGAAGGCTGCAGTGATGCCGCTTCTCTGTAAATCTGCAACGCTTCTTCATACCGCCCCGTGTTGTAATACAGAGCCCCCAGCGGGGACAGGATTTCAGCCTTCCGGGATACCTTCAGTGCCCTGGAATTTGGGAAAAAGAGATGCTTTCAGGTGGTGGGAGGATCAAAGCAGAAAAGCAAAGTGTGGCTTGTGCTGGGACGGAGCAGCGAAGCTCTGCACCCTGCATGGCATGCTCATCCCATCCTGGGGAGCACAGATTTAAAGTCCCAGGGAGGGACGAGCATGCCCACAGCAGCAATCCCTCTGGCTACCTGAGAAGGGGAGAGGGCCACCTCCAAAGTACATCCAAGCACACAGCAGGGGTGGGGATGGCTGAGGGTGGCAGAGCCCAGGGAGCATAAACACAAATCAGGATGCCAAAAAGGAGGCAAAACCCCCCCACACCAGTCCACCCTGCTGCATACTGGGAGTCAGAGTCTGCCTCCTGCACATGGCTAGGAAGGGTCGGGGTTCCTGATGGTGCCGAGGTTTTGGTGCTGGGCTGTGCAGCAGTTATGGCTGTTACTGGTGCAGCACCCACAGACTGGCTTTGAGCAGGGTGGGAGTCATGCTAACAACCTGCTTACACCACCAAGAAACCTCTGACTTTGTTGTTAAGAGCATCCCCCAGCCAAAACCAGCAGGGTGTCTATCCTGGGGGCTTCGTAACAGTCCAGGGAAGTCAACACTGCCTGAGCCTGTGCTGCCTGTCCAAGCACTCCTGAAAAATAGCCAAATAAGCAAAGGTAAACCCAATTTCAAAAAGATGGAGAAGGAAGGGGAGGAAACCCAAACATGCACTGACAGATTCACATATCAGAGACAGGCCATACACGGGGAGGAGGGAAACCTCTGTCTCCCATCTGAAATTCTTACCGCTTGTACCACACTTCGGCCTCTTTGTTCTGTCCCAGGGAGCGGTGAAGCCTGCCCAGGTTCACCATGGCCACGTGGTGAGCGGGGCTCAGGTGGATGGCCTGCCTGTAGTGGGACACGGCTCGCTCGGGAGCCCCTGGAGAGGAGAACAACTGTTAAACCGGTGCCTCAGAAAAATCCTGTTGTGAACTCAGCACGCAGTAATGCTCTGGGTTTTCTTTCAGCTATTGCTGTGTGCGTGGGAGCCGTTTTGAGAAAGAAATTCTGCCTCAGCCTTTCGAGGGATTAAGTGTAAGGAAAAGTGCTGTCCAAATTAAGGTTTAGGCTCCCATATTCAGAGATGATCCTGAGAAATAGGTTTTCTAGGGGTGGGTTTTTGCAAGTCGAGGGTACAGTCACCAGAAGAAGACTCCTGACTGAAAGCACCCTCCCCTCACGCTGTGGGAGGATGCACCCCCCACGCTAAGGACAGAGCCCACCCCAGAGAGGGGGCTGGGGCGCGTGTCCCACCTCCCGGGAGAGCATCCTTCCACCCTGGCCCACTGGAGAGATGGGCAACGGAGACACAAGCCACCCAGTATTCCCCATAACCCCACCAGAGCCGCAAATAGTTTTCGGCTCTTTCCAAAACAGACTATTCCCTCTTTCTGGTGCGCTGGCCCTGCTCAGCCTCTGCACTGCTCAACAGGACTGGGAGTAGCTGCCAGTGACCAGCTGATTCCCACCTCGGGGCAAGAAATCCCAGACCAGAAGTGTCCAGGTGCCTATTTTGGAGCACACAGGCACCATCTCTGCGTTGCAGAGGAGCCATTGGGTGGCACTGCTTTGCTGTGCGAAAACGTCTACCAGTGCAAGGTCCCGCAGTCCATGACATCACCGAGCACCACAACAAAATACAACACCTTGCAAAAAAAGAAAGGTGCCAGACCGCTAGCCTAAATCGTGTATTTTTCTTTATCTAAATAATGGCTTTCCTCCAGAAGGATCGTGCAGTGCTCTCCTCAGGCAGGGCCTGCTGACTACCCGTTCCAGCATTTCAGCAATGCGAATATTGTATTTTAACCTCAGTGCTCGTTTAACTGGTTTGCACACTCTAGACCAGGTAATCTCCTGATGAAAACCGATATTCACAGGGCTTTGTCCACCAACAAAGCTTTTGAGTATTGGAAATTTTTAAGCCAAATCACTTCACAATGTATTTAATTCCATTTCTAGCTGGAAAGCAGAACTTGAAAACAGCCTGCGTGTGTTGGGGCACTGAACATATGCTGCCGTGGGAATTTTATTTTCATAGCTTTTCAGATCTAGTTTGGCTTTCCTGAGACTATCTATGCAACACAAAAGTAACATTGACACTTCCTGGCGTCTCCCTTACAGGAGAGAGGAAGGACATCTGTAGGGATATTTAGAAGCACTTAAGATTCATCCAAGGCCAACGACATATCGTTCAGGGTAGGACTTTTTCAAAACATCCAGCAGCAGCCTCGATCTTCTCCCACCACTGAGCAGGCAGATGTTTTTGAAAATCCTATCTACAAAACATCCCGGGAAGCAGCTGGCCGTGCACCTCCGTCCGTAAGTCAGCCAGTGCCTCCCCTGCTCAACACACAGGGGTAATGTGCATCGTTAAGGGAGACACATCGAGCGTCTGTGACCACTGCAGAGCTGTCTAGAGTTATGGCTCCCCAGAGCTGACACTTGCCGGAGGCTTGTCACACAAATCCCTGCAAGTTAATCGGCGTGGTGCTTCACAGCATCTCCCTGTGCCCACCAGGGAAGAGCGCAGCCTGTGACGGACTCGCTGCCAGCCGCTTCCTTCACGCCTTGTCGTGTCTCCAGGAGGGTTATTTACACATCATGCCCGAAGTATCAAAAGTCAGTGGGTTTTTTTTCCTGTTGTTTGTGTGTAGGGAAGTGTAGGAGTAAACCCGGAAAAGTTAGTTTTGACTTTGGCAGAACACATAAGTGCAAAAAAATAGAAGGTGCACTGCACTGCGTTTGAACCACAATTTTTGGCAGGAATAGGGCAGTTTATCTGGATTGGGAAGCAAAGATGAGTACAACATCAGAGTGAAATTACTGAAGACTTTTTATTATTTGCAAGGTTGAATTTTGCCAGGGCACAAATTCAGAACCTCAACCTCTGCCGCTAATGCCATGATGCCTTTATTTGATTACGAATACTCATTTTGGTTTCGTATTTATTTCACACTGGTACTACAGAAGAGCAATGGCTGAGCATCTGCTCAGGGGCAGGACAGGCAGCTGCAGCCTGACGGACACCATCACCCTTTCTTCCCAAGCACCACTGGAGCCAGGGACAGTGTGAAAGGGGCAGATGGGTAGCAACCCCGCACTTTAAGCCTAAAATATTTCATCACTGAGTGTCAGCTCTGTTCTGAAGGGACCAGGGTGAGACAGTAGTTTGGTTTCCACTAGTCATCTGTCAAATTTGGCCTTGCTTATAAAGCTGTCAATAAAGGCAGCAATTACAGCGGCTTTTTTGTTGTTGTTGTTATGTGGATGCCAGGAAGTACCAGAGTCCAGGGAAGTTGGATGGGAGCTAGGAGCCCAGAAAAGAAAGGCTTTGGATGTCATTATGGAGCTCCTGAGAAATCAATTCACCCCACAGTATCTTAGGTTTTGTTTTCACAGATGATTGTGGTTTAAAAGTCATGTTCGTTTTTATAGCGGTGGCACTCAACCTTTACAACGAGCTGCTTTGTCACCAAGTAGAGCTGCAAGTGCTCCAAAGACCCTAACGATCCACTTATGTGCCTGGGATTTGGTCTGATGTAGCCATGCTTTCCTGGAGAAACTGCAGTATTGTCAGGGTGCTGCCCAGCTCGAATTGAATAGGATAACTGCCGGTCCGAAGATGGTGAGAAACACTGAAGGAAATAGCCGGGCTGAATGCCATTGCTGCACAGTGCCTGCATTGATTACAAATTTCAGTACGCTGTGCCATCTCAGCAGCACAGGGATGTTTATTTCCAAGCTACAGTGGAGGCACATCTATTGCCTTGGAAGCTTTTGACACCCTTTTAAATGTGTACTGCTGAATAAAAATCAAAGCAAGTAAGGCAGAGGGGGAAAATCCCTTGCTCCTTCTCACTTACCGGTATCAACCAAGAAAACACCGTAGTTGTTATGCAGATCGGAGCTCTCTGGACAATTCTCTATGCCAGCCTTATAGACTTCCTCTGCTTCTTTAAGCCGTTCCTTAAAAGAGGAGATTTCTCAGCCGTGGCAGAAAGGGTGTCAGCACTATTTGCCGCATACCTGCATTTTGTGACAACTCCCTCGCTGCATGGTGAGCTCAGCCCACCCCGCCTTCTAGGAGGCCAAAATTTTACCCCATGGCATGGATGCGATATAGCTGCTGTCTGGTACGCCAGAGCAATTCAGACAGCTTTTCCCCATACATGTGCAATCGGAGCTACCTGTGAAACAAAAATAACAGCTGGAAAAGGTGGCTCCTGTGCAACGTCAGCAAGCACCCAGCTGGGAAACACAGCAGCAGGGGTCACGTTGGTTCTGTTGAGAAATATCTGTCATCTGGGAGCTGATATGTTTTAATTTCTTTAATGAGCATCTTGATGGCTAACTTTTCCCCTCTGGAGCTCTGCTGCTTGTTCCCTAAGCAGCAGGGAAAACACAAGGAATGAAAGCTTGGCGTGTGTGACAGCTGGGGGACGGGGAGCTCATGCAGGGGGATGACGAAAGCTGGAGGAGGATGGGGGGCAATGAAAGAGTGGGGAAAATCTGACAGATTCAGATTAAAACCAGGCATTGTCAATGCATGAGATGGAGCTCACTGGGATTGACAGGACGTGCCACTGCGCTAATTCCCAGATACAGTGAGCCCTTACATTTTGCACAGATTTCAAGGAGGTTTGTTGGTGCTGAGCATTTCTGGAAAATACAGATCTTTTCTTTGGGAACACCCTGCCTACAGAAAGTATCCCACTGGCTGGGCTCCATCTGGCCTGAGCTACAGGCAGCCTGGTCCTGAAATGAAAATAAGGTGTCTCGTTTGGATCAAATAGCAACTTAATAAGGTTTCCATTTCCTTCCAGCCAGCCAGTGCGTGCCCACTGCCTGCATGCTTGCTAGCATGGGTTATCATGGTCCTCCTCTCTCCCCTAACCTCACAACTCTGCTGTGGGGTGTATTTATGGAACAGCAGAGACAAGCACGGTGCAGAAGAGTGTCAGGCAAGCCTACAGCACCAAAGACTCTTTTTTCAATTCTTCCCTTTCCGTGGAGTGGCACAGCCCTACAGCAACAAACTCCACACCCAAGCGAAATCAGCCACCCAGGTCTCCACCAAGGAGCCACCAAGGCAGACCTCCTGCTTGGGACCTGAATCCACGTTGAAATAAGAGGTTGGTCCATTCCCAGTTATGGACTCTCCTCTCCTCAAGTCCTGCAAACCCCAGAGCCTCTGGGGCTTTCTCTGGATTTAAAGGGTGTACCTGACAGCAGCTTTTGCTCTGTAGCTGCTTAAATGTGTGGACTCCTTTCTCACCTCCTATTTCAGAACTGGAGAGCTGGAATTAATCGCATTGGAAGAGTATGACTTGATGAAAGCACACAGTTTGCCATGGTTAAGTGCTTTCACATTTACATGATAAAGGTCAGCCAGCAGAAAAGATAGTGTGTGATAAAACACAGAAACACATTTTTAAGAAGTGCTTAAGTTTGGACATTTTGGATATATTTATGTGAATTTGACATCATTATCCTGCGGGGTCAGGAAAAGTGTAGCAATCATCAGAATTGACTAAAATGAAGAGCAATTTTTTGAGAAAGCATCTGTGTCACTGAGACACTGACAACCATATTTTCAAAGCTTTCTGTATTAGTTTATTTCCCTCTGATTTTAATTTTCAGCCAAGGAATGTGGCTTTGTGTGCATGTATGTCAGTTTTCTTCATTTCATTTACTGATCATAAACCCAGTCTTTAAAGCATGGAAGGGCAGTGTTAAACTGGATTAGCAGTGTCCCACATCAAAACATTCACACTCACCAATATTGAGCACTTAGTATTTTTATCATGGTTGCATTGCTTTTTTGGCACCTAACGTCCTGACCCTGCATGCCTCAGGCTCAGCACAGAGCCTGGGATGATTTTGCTAACAAAGTGTTTGCATTAAGCCCAGTCAGAAACTGGGAAGGGTGGGACCAGCTTTTTGTGCCAGAGCTTTCCCCCTCACAGCCTCTCCTCTTCTTGGGAGAAATGCTCTAAGTTCATCAAGGCTTGATTCTCATTAACACTTAATAATGCCACTCCCAGACCTTCATGAAACATTAATCAACCTCACAAAATTCAGAAGATTGGCTTAAAAAATGTATGAGATTTTTATGATATTAAAAAAATTATGCATGTGAGGATCTCTCAGCTGAACTCCAGGGTTTTTCAGTCTGGTTATGCCTGTGTAGGCTCTCCTCTGCAGCTAAGTGGGTTAAAAAGTTTCTTTTTCTTAGTGTAGGCTGATATTATTACACACACACACACACAGGAATCACTTGAATCCAGAAACTAGGGCCTGAAAAGAGCCATTAAGTAGCTAGCACGAGATGGCTGATGAAACTGCAAGAGCTGGGAAGAAGATGCTGTTCAAGTGCATCAGAATAAATCCTGGGGAAGCTGTGTCACAGGAGTGTTGTGAAAACAGTGAACAAAATGTTTGATTTCTGGTATCAGCACCACTGCAGTGATCATGGAAAACAAGGAAAACAACAATACATTGTGACCGAGTTACGATACCAAGCAGAAAGAGCAGTAAGAAGGGCAAGCATTTATAAAAGGCACAAATAAGCCAAACTGTTTTATACAATGTGGCAGTGTTTTCTTCCATGCCGGCTCTGGCTTCAGAATCAACTATCAAGGAGATAAAAGGGCAATTACATCGAGTTACAGGCCAATTCCCCGGCACATGAGACACACCTCTTAGGAGCATTTTTTACAGGTGTAGAAAGGACAGACCTATAAGCCCTATCTCAGATTCATCACCTTTAAGATATGGGGGAACACGTTGTGTGGGACCAACCAAGGCAATCCTGGCACCATTTCACTGAGCCACGTCCACCATTTCCCCCTTCTTAGCCTTAGTGCAAAGCTGGAGGAGTGGCAGGTTGTCAAGGGCATGGTCACCTCATGCGAGTTATTTTAATGTGCCACTACAGCACTTCAGCCCCTTTCTATCACATCCCATCGAGAGGGAATCAGTTTGTGCTCCCTTCCCCAAAGTTCCATAGCAATGCTGTCCATGTAGCCTACGGCATACTGCCTGGCATCAGATACCCCTATAGCTGTGAGACAGACTCCGGGCCACAAGTAGACAGAAAAACAGGTTTGTAACATTTAGCCATTTTGGACACTATTGCTTGGACAAAGAGGAAAACCCAAAACCGAAAAATGGGGTCCTGTCATCATCCTTTGGTGTGAAAATGCCAAAACTTCTGCCTGTACCCCTCCAGGAAGCACACAGCACTAGGGCGTGATTCTGCAGCCCACAGCCACGGGCAGCAGCACCTATTTGTAGGACAGCCCCTACTGCCGTCACTAGGATGGGCGTGCAAGGCAGGAGCTGCACAATCAGGTAGTCATCTGCTGTGGCTGAACATGAGAAGGTGTTAAAAGCCTGCAGGAAATCGCTCTTTTCTGAGGAAATTGTACTATCTTTTTTCCCCTACCACTTACTCAATTCACAAGATGAACAATCTATACGTAAGAGTAGATGAATTATTGCTGGACTTACTAATGGCATTTGCTTTGGGCAGAAGGCCTCGGGACTCTATAATGGTTTTATTGCTCTGTTGACCTTACAATTGATTGTTCTAATTAATAATCTCAATTAATATTAAAACCAGGTATTACTGTAGAGGACTCATTTCCGACACTTACAGGAGACCCTTCATTGACAGGCTTATTCAAAACACAGCTCCCATTCAACGAGGCTCTTCCTTCAATTTATACACTATATTTCTAGGTCCCTGCAGCTGATATTGATAATATTCAAATATTTGAAAGTCACTTAAAAGGGAGAATAAAATAGCACATCTTTCAGTAATCCACATATATCATACGTGAGTTTTGCAGAGTGCCTACATCATTAAAGAAGCCTAAACCAGAACAAGACCTCTGCTTGTAGTTTTGCTGACATTTACCCACTTCCCTTACAAAGAGATTTCACTAACCCGCTTAATGGAAAACAGTGAAAGATGACACTCTTTTCGTTTGTCTGTATTTGCATTTGGCCATGTTTTAAGAAAGCTTTAGCACCCCGTGCTATGGAACAGTTAGATTTGAACCTTGGGGGAGAAAAAACCATCAGTTTTCAAAAAGTTTGCAGAGGTGTGCTGGAGCTGTATAGTTACAAGGACCTCTTCACCCACCCCCATAGCCCCATACTGGGGCCACTGGTTGTGGCCGCAGCCTGTGGGAGCAACACCCAAAGCACAGCATCCCTCATATGCTGCTACAGGCGTGGAGAAAAGCAGGGCTTGGTGGTCTCGACGTGGGCACCCACACTTTGTGGCTTCTTCTGAACTCAAGCTTTTTGTGCCTCAACTTCCCTTTCCCTCCATGGGGACAATATTTCACTTCACAGGGACCTTGTAGAAATAAACTACCTAACTACAGAGTAGGGAGAGCCCTGAGTAATGAGCATGGGGAACAAGCCTGAGAGGAAATGAGTAATCCTGCCTCCAGAGTGCAGCCTGGGCCGTGCGCAGTAAATAAGGCCTGGGGGCACATATTGAACAATGAGGTTAAATAAAATATTGAACAGCTGCTCATTAAGAGCAACGTAAAGCTAGCAAGCCTTCCCAGCCCCTCTATGTGATCACCTACCACGGTAATTAAGGGCCATATTCCAATGTGTGCGTGCAAGGGGCAGAATTTGGGCTGCAGAGGCCACCTGGTTTCTGACATTTCCTAGCTCTGGAGTGATTTATTATGAAATCTTAAGGTGTAGGCGTGTGTGTCTGAGGGGGAAGCGCTTGCCTGTTCTGCTGTCACAACATTCAAGGTGCAATGGATTAAGACTTCGCCATAGACGCGGGGAGCTGCAGAGAGGGTATTTACTCACAACTTCAACAGTGATTTAATTCAGAGCCACATCATGTGGGTGTAATTACTCACTGCAAATGAGTTGCCTCCCATCTTGAAAAAGTCATCTCTAAAGCAGCCCAAGTGCTCTCTGCAGACAGCCGCAGACCCACGCGTGCCACCGCACGTGTGCAAGGCGAGGGTGCTCCGCTGGGACGCACAGGAGGTGATGCGGCTGCGGCAGCAGTGCATGCACACATGCAGAAGGCACGAGAGTTCAAGTGATGCCCGTTACCTGTTCAGCTAGCAGCGAGGCCAGGCTTGAGTAAGCATCTGCGAACTCTGGGCCATACTTAATGGAGTCCCGCAGTAAGATTACAGCTTCCTCCTTCTTCCCTTGGGACCTGCAGCACAGGGAAGGAGGGAAAAAAAGAAAGAAACATTCTTGTAAGCACATGTTTAGGTCATCCCACTGATTAACTACTTTAAAGAGATGTGAAAGTTCCCAACTTGACCTTTTCAACAAAGACGAAATGATTCACTCGTGCTTCCTCTCCACAGCGTGCATACCCAGCACCTCTTTGGCCCATCGCTGTTTCCATATGTTATTCTCAGGGGTTGGGAGGACATCGGCTTTAATGAATCTGCTGTTTGGTCTGCTATTCTGGTGATTGTCATACTGAGCACTATGCAATGATCCCAGTGAACACAAAACACCCCCAAAACAGTATTCCTCAACCCCACACACTGAGGAGTAAAAAGTATTTTATTTTGGCTATCAGGCAAGCAGTACAGGCCACATGCTCTGTCTGTTGAGTCATAACCACTAGATCTTGTAAAATTCTCCAGTCCTACTGTACATCTCCTCTCAATATTTCTCTTTATGGCAAATACATCAAATTCTGCCCCATTCATCCCATCAGAAATTAAGGATACATGAAGAACAAGATAGCAAAAGTGTCTGCAGGCATGAAGTACTGCACAAGACCCTTCCAGCAATGTCCTTGGGAAGTCACATGCCCTATAGGAAGGGATGCTGTCAGGGTAACACCGCGTTTGCAATCAGCTTCTGGAGGTCTGGCCCCAGTCATGTCACTGAGGCACTGACTGAGCTGGCAACAGGACATTTGCTCTCACCAGCCCTGCTCTCACATCAGTAGGTTGGAGACACCAAAACATTTGCATTTCCTTAAAAAAATTCCTGCAGACTCTTTGCATGTTCCTAGACAGCAAGTGTTGTTATAGATCCACTTTTGACTTAGTTAAATTAATACTTTGAAATTAAAATATCACTAAGTTAAATCTGCCTGGGATCTCTAAATAATTCCTTAGCAAGTGGATCATTAGGCTAGAGGAGTCTGTTCTCAGATCCTAAGGATTATGAGATAGGTAGCTGAGAGATGGCTATGCTGATGAGCTAGGCTTTTTCCAGTGTTGCTCTGCATTTACTGCCATGGAAAACGGAAAAGGTTTCTTGAACAAAAATCTAAGGATGTTTATTTATTTGAGCTACAATTTCTCCAGTATTGCTCTGTATTTCTTTCCTTGGAAAAATGAGAAGGTTTCCTGAACAAACATCTAAGGATGTTTAGCTGGACTGGAACAACATTTTCCTTGTGTTGGGTGTACAAAGAATATGAATAGCAGGGCTTACAAAAAGAAACAAAGGGCTCTGGGACACAGAAAATATGTGAACACCTTGCTGCTTTGGCCTTAGATTTCATCTGAGTGACATGGTCAAGTAACCAGATCTTGTTTATAAGGTGCAAATTTCAGCTGATAATATATGTGGCTTTGCAGACTTTTCCCCTTTCTAGTTGTGTAACTGGAAGAGTATTTTGCCTGTGCATTAAGCTAAGTAAAACCAGTTGTGCTAGTCTTTTTCTTCTTCCAGTGGTGTTCCATATAAATTACACGAATGAAGCAAAAACAAATAAAGAACCACTTTTCTCCTGAACTAATTAAAGACTAGCTAGCTTGTCAATTTATAGAACTTTTGGATCCCTTGGCTGGAGTTTCATGACACACTTTTATAAATCAAAAACAGATGACTGCTTTATAAAGGTATTGATGTTTGGCAAAAAAAATTTAGGAAATGCCAGCTACAGAAATAAAAGGATTAAGTGATCCACTCAGCAGCAGTAAAAGTTCCCATTAACCACAAGCATGCACTCTGAACATGGAGCAGCCCTCTTAATTACCCTTTTTTATAAAATGGCCTTTTTTTTCCCCGTTTGATCCAAGAACAATGTTTGTCTCCTGAAAGTGGGGCTAGAGAGGGAAAGATTATGGCGTCTTTTTATGTGACAGACTGAATTATATTAAAAAAAGCAGATCCAGTAGTTTCTCAGAGGACTCAGGCCTGCAAGATACCAAGTGCTCTGGCCAAGCACTTAAACGCGTACTTGATTTTTATGTATGCAAGTTGAAAATTAATTACTGACTGAAGTGCTTTCCTGGATCAAGGCCAATGCTTTGCAGGATCATGGCCGTCGCTTATATCAGTCTCATGCAATTTGGGAGAGTGCAGAGCATTGGAAGAACAGTCCGATACACTAATTTACTGTAAACTGGGGATCTGGAGCAGGAAAAGCTAGGTAATGTATACTTTTGCTGTGACAGAGAGAGGAACAAATTCAACTGACATGAGGAGTCTATGATCACTTAATCCAATTTTTCCCCAAATTATCTTGCCTTACAATGCCCTCTCCTGACTCCCTCTTCCACTCGAGTCCCCAGCCTCCCCTCTACAATCAGCATGTCTGAGCCAAGAGCAAGGAACAGCTCTTTCCACCAGGAGCATCTCTTCCATATTTTTGCAAGTGCCCTGCAGTTGGAGAAGCATCAGCTTAAACCATCCCACAGAAGTCTGGTGATGCATGGGTCTGTGTGTGGGCTGTTAGCACTGGAGCAAATTTCATTTGCAACAGAAAAAGTAACCTAGGAATTACTGCTCTAGAGGACTTTTTAACTTTCAAGATTTGTTTTATTTTGTGAAGTTAGTTTGACTGCATTAAAGCCAGAACTCAAACAAGGGCTCCACAACTGTTCTGAACATCTCATCTTGGTTTCACACCATAATCCAAGGGGAGCTTGCAGTGTCTAACTCCAACTGTATGAAAGGAAGCCTCTAAGCCTGCTCAACTCCCTAGTTTAAAACTGATTCAGATAATTTAGATGCATTCCTTTGCCATTCATCTATACCATGTGGATGACACCAAAGTGGGGGAGTGGGCAATATTCTGCACATCAGGGATGCTTTTCAGAGGGACCGGGTCTAATGGGAACCTCAGGAAGTTCAACAAAAGTCCTGCAAGTCCTGCACCCGGAGTGGGATAACCCCATGCACAAGCACAGGTTGGGGGACGACTGGGGTCCTGGTGGACAACAAATTGATCATGGGCCAGCAATGTACCCTACATGGCAAAGAAGGCCAACAGTGGGTCTAGGGAAGTGATCTCTCCACCTTATATGATACTTGTGAGACCACATCTGGAGCAACGTCTGTCCAGAGTTGGGCTCCCAAGTGCAAGAAAGGCATGGACTTACTGGAGGAAGCCCAACAGACGGCTACTAAAGAAGGTCAGGGCTAGAGTACCTGTTGCATCAAGGAGAAGCTAAGCAAGCCATGTCTGCGCAGTCCGGAGAAGAGAAGGCTCAGGGGTGGCTTCAGTGCTGCTTGCAGCTACCAGGTCAGACGATACAATGAAGCCAGAGCCAAACTCTTCTCAGAGGTGCACGGTGACAGGACAAGAGGCAACAGATGCAAGTAAGAACATGGGACATTCTGATTAGATGTACAGAGAAATATTTTTCACCATGAGGGTGGTCAAACACTCAAACAGGTTGCATGGAGAGATTGTGGCATCTCTGTCCTTGGAGGTGTTCAAGATTCAGCAGGACACAGCCCTGAGCAACCTGATCCAATTAGACTTGCTCTGAGTAGTGGGCTTGACCAAATCATCTCCAGAGGTCCATTCCAACCTAAGTTATTTTCTGAATCTACTGTAAATTTGACACTGCCAGAGTTTGGTTGATTTGGGTTTTTTTCCCCCAAACAGGCTACAACATGTGATACTGACAGATAACAACAGCACTTCATGTAACACAAGAGTATCCTAACCAGAGACCATCCAGAAAGCCAGATGCAGTATCCCTGAATATTATCACTCAGTTTGCTTCTTTGAATGGAAGGGAGGAATGCTTCACTCTCTAAAAGATCTTAAATCTCGATACACGTAATATCTATCTGATGTTTTTCAGCATCTTCAGACAGTTACACAAGCCTGTGTCAGCACATTCACATACATACATATCCAGAAGCCTGTATCAGAGAGGGCAGATAGTCCTCCTTCCTCTGAATAGATGGGTTTGCTAAACTTGGGACTAAATCATGGCAACAAACACACAGAACACATTGTGTGTTACTCTACATTCAGAAGAGAATCAGTCCTTTGAATAAACTCAAGATTTCATTGCACAGTGTTTCCAGGCATTTCACTTCCCCCTCGAAAATGAAGCCATAACACTCTCAAAGCACGTAAGAGTTATGAGGCTTTTCTTCATAAGAAACAGTGTACTGAATATTGGAGTGCTTTAGGTATGGATAGATACAGTACCGCAAATAAGAGGTTCTCTCCCATTCTTCCTGCAATAGAAAGCCAAGATAAATATTTACTTCAAATGTTCATAATATTTTATTTCTTGTGTCTTTACAGAATATCCCACAGGCTATAAATTTGTGAGGTATTCTGAAGGATATTTATCTCAGTTTTTTCAAGCTGTATCTCAACAAAACTGAACCTATATAGAGAACTTAAATATTTATATAATGGGAAACTTCAAACCAAAACACAAGAAAGCAGCATCAGGCTGCTCTGTGTCACTGGTCACGGACCACAAAAGCAGAGAAAGAGATTTCTCACTTTTAGGTAGGCCATCTTTTGGGTCTATTTTAACTAAGATATCTGTTGGCATTGTTTAATTATCTACTCTCCAATATTTATATTAGGCAAGAAAATGATGACATACAACTTTATTTTAGGATATGTAAACAAAACCAGAGGCTTATTCAGCCATTACCCTGCAATGCTTCCTGAGAACATTCATCTTCTGGCACATAGCTGTCTTCATTATGTGCAAACAGAAAATGGAAACATCCTTTTTCATCTAGGACTTCCGCAGAAAAAAACCTTAAAAATTCCACCCTGTGGTCCTCAAACCAGACTTTTACTCAAGCTTAAATCACAAGCAATAGATGCGTAAATAGAGAGCTTATTTACAGGGAATAACAAGAGGCAGATTCCCACATGGGAATAGCAAACCCATCCTTCCAAAATCCTGGAGTTCCCCTCTCCCAGCACTCCAGAGGAGGTGAAATCTAATATCCGCCATCAGATTTCTACACTATGAGCAGGGGTGGGTAAAAGGAAATCAGCAGAATTCAACTGGGAGTTCCCCATGCCAGACGGTTTCATTACGTGTCCCAGTACAAGTAGCACTGTTACTGGACGTGCCTTAAGTGTTGCAGATCCAGCTCTTCCTGATCTGCACCATGCACTAAAGCCTCTGCAAAGAGGACAGAAAATGCTTTTATGGCTTGACCATTTATCGTCTCTCTGCCATATGTTTAAAAATCAAAACACTCCCCGTAATGTCTCATAGCACAGCCAGAAAGTAATATCTGCCTGTAATACTCTGCAGATTTTCATTTATTACCTATATTAGAGTAGCATTTAGTGTCTGCAGAATACTGGTTGCCCTATATACATATATATGAAAGGATAATTTGGAGAGCCAGGTAGAAAACATAAATAAAGACAAAGCTGTAGGAAAGGGGAGCTTGAAATCTCTGCCTCGTTCCCGTCTGGTCATCTCACAAGTCACCTCGTGCTCCAGCATGGCTGATGATCCCTTGTAAGTTGATGGATGATCCAGGAAAGGTCCTGGCAAAGTGGTTTGGACTAGTGTTTTAGGAGAGACATTCATATAGGATCTGCCTGCACACTATCTGCTTTACATATGTGCTAATCCCTCCACCATGAACTCTACCTATGTTTTAGCAGGTTTTTTAAAGCTGAATAGGGAGAGGAGAACAGCCAGTTTCCATTATAATTAATACTACTGGTGTGTCCAGGTGCACTAGGTTGTTTTAGAAGCCTAAAAAAAAGTCTAGAAAATGGGAGCAAATGGGTGTAGGAAAAGGGCAGGTGGAACTTGAGCCCTTTCTTTTAACACGTTTAGCACAAGCATCACACACCTTTAACATACCACAATATATGGCAACACAGAAGGATGCAGAGCACATACAGTCCAACAGGACACACAATATCTTAACTATCACATTAAGAAAAACATGACATATTGCACACAAAACAAACAGCACTTCTAAGAGATTTTCCCACATGTCTCCTTTGTGCTTTGCCAGTGCAACAAATCCAGTTTCTACCCATCTGCTGGGTCATAAGAGCCCATCAACAGGCCAGATTTAAGCATTATTGACATGTCCTGGTGCTGCTTCTGGTTTACGTCCTTTTGTATTAATATTTTACATTAAAAAAAAATATCACAGAGAATAATAACTAAGGCAAACATGATGGATTAAAAGGACAATATGTATTTTTAAACACCATTGCTACCCAAGATTAATTTCAATCAACCAAATCTGATGAATAATACAAAGACTTTCCATTTCTCTTGTAATAAGACTGTCTTTACCATTTTCCTTTCTTGTGAGTATTTCCAGTAAAGCACTCACCTACTTTCTATTTAAGAATTACTCATCTGCCATATTCTAACCTCAAACCATCAGGTTTACTTGTAATATTATTCTGATAACTTCTCTGCTACCGAACAGACCAGGCAGAACTTCAGCAATCCACTTAATATCCGTCACATAAACTCACACTCAGAGTAACATTTCAGAACCAGAGAGCTCAAGTACGTTTTGATGAGACAGTGCTACTTTAAAACCTGTCCAACACTAAAGCCCAAGCTACTCTAAAAGATTTACCAGAGACCTATTACCAGCAAAATAGGTGCAGTTTATATCAGCAAAAGTGTACTTCTACTGCTGTAGTTTATGCAGTTCTGTCAGCAAATAACACGCTATCCTCACAAAAACAAGGCATTTTTTTTTGCTGGTGCAAAACAGCAATGCAGGAACAGAGATATTTTACTTTTTTTTAATTGCACCCCTAGCAGATCTCATCATATGGGCAAAGCTGCTTGTGTAGATCTTTAAGTTCAGTCTTTAGATAAGGTTAGTTAAATTAATTTGCATGATTATGATCGTCTGCTATTCTCCTTGCTAAAGGCTGACACTAGAAGTAACGAATGAAATTATGAGCTCATTAACTTGTTTTCTTGCTCAGCAGAGTAACCATATAGGGATGTAAACCAGCTTTCCCCTCAAATCCAGACCCACCCGCTCTGCAATGGGATGAACCTTCTGCTGCTCTGAGCATCTCAGAGTTAGGTGCTTATGCCTAAACTACGCATCGACCTTCCCATACAGCTAATGAAGAGAAGTGGGAACTTGCAGAGAGGGATTTGTTGGATCTGTGTTATTTATTAGATTTGCATCAGATGCCTGTCTTTGAATAACATGGCTTACTGCACTGGAAAGGCTTACACCTCTCCACCGAGATGGGAATCTCAGATGACTAGTTGGGTTTAGGCACCTCATTTTTGATGCCTGATTTAGAACAAGTGAATTCCCTCCAACTGAAACACAATTGTAAACAGCACCTGAAGTGATGTGGCAGACAGCATAAGGATATCCAAACTAAGCCTCACCTTTGTGCCGGCACTCTAGGTCGGCAATAAGAAATAACGCCATTCCTTTACCAGTTGGCAGAAAAAACTACTTTGGTAATGTGCATAGAAAGAATGTGAATTTCCTTGGTGCCAGTTCTGTGTTCAACTTACTTGAGCAGGTTGCCGAGATTGAAGAGAGCTCGATTGTGCTGAGGGTTTAACTGAAGGGCCCGTCTGTAGTAGTCCTTTGCCTCCACCACGTCTTTGGTCAACGTTCCCAAGTTGTTGAGAGCACTTGCATGACGAGGGTACAGTCTAGGAAAAATGAAATATCAAGTTACAGACACTCATTAATTGGCAAATAAAGCTGAGGTCACTGATGTTGCCACCACTGCTGTTCAGCACTTGGTAAAGGGAAGGATGCCAGCTAGGAAACACTGCTTTCCCCTCATTTGCTGCAGGTCCTGATGGGATCCTGAGGAACCTTTTCAACTCACAAAGAGATTGCAAATCAGATCTTCTCCTACAGTTCCTGCATGCCTCCATGCAAAAGGGAACATTGAACAGTTTTGAAAGCCTATTTTACCCTCCAAGCAAAAGGCAAAGTGACTAAAGCAGCTTGAACGTTTTTATTCAAAATGTTTTTCAAACAAGCAAGAAGGGCTTTGTCAAAAATGTTTCCAATGGAAATATGTTTTGACATATACAGAAACCAACACAACACTGTTTAAGTTGATCTGTTTTGGTTTTTTAAATCAGTTTTCCACAATAAAAGTGGTAACAAAGTGCAAAAGGAAACTTGAAATCAGCTGTTGAACAATGTTTTCAGGACCAAGCAAAATGATAAAAAAATCTGGAAACAGACTGCTTAACAGTATGAATTCCCTAAGCTTCTAGTTGTATTTTTTTACCACTTGGTTCAGTTTTCGTTTTAACTGATCTGTTGATCTTTACATCTACCTGTTTCAGTTATAACACTACATATTGGGCCCAGTGCATCTCTGTTAAAATTCTCCATAAATTAAGAACAACATCATGGTCCATTCAGCTGCTTAAATTCTCAGAGTTGTGCTCCTACATTAATATTTTCGTTTGCAGGTCTTTCATCAGAAAACTCCAGAGGTGAAAGTGGTCCAGGGCAAGATTTAGCACACAGGACCCTTTGTGTCACAGAGGGGTGAAAACTGAGGTTCATTATGATAAAGAAATACAACTATGACGGTAGCCCACAGAGGTCCCAGGCAAGCTGTGTGAGTATGTCTGATGCCCTGGTATGAAATGGTGCGCAGGTGCTTGCCCACAGAACTCCTCCAGATGATCACTTCATTCATGATGGGGAGGAAGCGGGTTAACATGGTCAAGGCTTTGGTTTGAGAAGACCTAGTTGCAAATACCGCTGCCACTGCAGATTTTCTATTTCAGATGAGGACAAGTCATCTGACATTTCTTTGCCTTAGGTCCCTGTTCATGGGAAAGTGATGTGGATAATGACATTAAAAGTAGTTGGCTATGACAGCCCAGGGTACAACATCAGGAGGGGCATTTAAAGGAAGAAGGGATTATGACTCTATAATATAGTCTGACTCTAAAGTTTGCAACTGTTTTTAATCTAAGACTTTCCATGGCGGGGGTTTTTTGCCTGGAGTTTTTCATTATGTCAGTTCAGCCCTGGGATTTTCTGTGCTTAAGTACCATGAATAATTTAGCATTTTATACACTGCTGCAACATTTGTATCAGTCACATTTCCGCTCCACAGCACATAAGTGATTTTGGCAAGATCTTACTTGGGGGTGAAGCTGGGAACACACAAGGGAACTCCGGGAGAAATGGACATGCACTGGTAACAAACCCAGGATGCTTCCTACAACTAAGTAATAGAAGAGCCCAAAGTCCTTTTTCCACCCAACACCAAGTCTAGCAGACAAGGATTGCAAAGCCACATAGTTGAGGAGAGATCATTCAAGGATGCAGCCATATATGTTTTTTAAAACTTAGCGTATTACAATGACAAAAGATAAATGTAGTGACCACCACTCATAGTAACTAATGACGGCACACTCTCTCAACATCCCTCCCATACAGAAAAGCATCCCGTCTCTCAGAGGTAACCGCTTCTCCTGCTGCAAGCCCTCAGGTGCGGCGCCCTGTGTCTCCATTCACCCACGCTACCCACATTCGCTGCTAGAGTGATTTTTGAAGAGCTCCCTAACTGATCTAGTCACAGAGGAGCAAAGAATAGGAAATTCATGGTGAGACTGCAGTTGGCATAGAAATAGTATCACTTTCCATCACTGAAGCTACCCAGTGAGCCCGATGTGTTTCGGGATGTGAAAGGCTGCCTGTGCTTGGAGAAGCATCAGCAAAGGACAAGACGGTGATGAGGGTATAGTGTTGAGTCTTGACCTTCGCCCTAAAATCCACTGGTGATCAAGGCTAAGCCTCCGCAGCTGAAGTAGGCTGGAACAAACGCTTTCCACAGCAACAGCAGGGGAGCAATGGAAAGGACCAAGCTTGCTTGCTCTTCAGCACTTGGGACACAGCTCTGTGTGATAACTTGACCAGGATCTTGAGCAAAGAACATCCTATCTACCTTAGGGCAAATGACTGAGGGCTCAGCCTTGTTTCCCATTTCTTCCATGGCATTTTGACATTGTTTTGGACCAAAAAAAGGTCTGGGAGTTATATTTTTGAGGCTTTTTTTCCAGTTGGGTATGATAAAAGCTGTGCACTACTTCTGTCAGTACTCACACATAAAACCAGCTCTAATATCTCACATGAAGTCGCTTGAGTTATGAGTGGGCAAAAGTATTTCAGACAATTCTTGGGAAAGTCAGAAACAGATTAACATTTTACAGGCCTAAACCTGATGGTTTTGCTCTCAAACTTCCAGAAATTAATTCTGTTCTTGGCCTCTAGTGCTCCCATGACAATGTAGGCCCAGGAGATCCACTTGCACCAATTTGGAGAGGAATGAAAACTCAAGATTAAAAAAAGGGAACTGATTTCACCTTTAAATTACACAGTTCTGACCAGCAGCTCCATAAATACACTTCTGAGCTCAGAGCTAAACCCTCTCGACAGCAAATCACAGGATGCAAGCACGTCTCCCATGTATCTTGGGCTCTATTTCTTGTGTTTTACATTTATTCATTACATCTCATTGCCCTTTCCAAGAAATATAAGTGAAAAAACAGAACCTCAGCTAGCACGAATTGTCAGCTTAAACCCGCTTAGCATCTGGCCTGAAGAACTTCCAACATTTGCAATTTTACATATCTGAACAAACGTTAAGAGAAAAATCTGAGCACAGTGAGATAAGGCAGTGGTGTTGGGCTTTGCCGTCAGGGTTCAGTTCTTTATAGTTTTATTTAAAATATTACTTTATTACAGCAGTAGAGCAAGATGCCACTCAACTGAGTTCAGCAGAGAGCATAACCAAGCCCTAAGAGGGCGTCACCTCCAGGAAAGTAACCAGACCCAGAGGCTGAGCCCATGACCATCCACGCTGTTATATTGTTAACATGATCCCTAACAGTTTCACACCAGCCACAAATAGTTCCCAGGCGTGGTCCAGGGCTGAACCCAGACCAGGGTTTGGTCCCAAAAGCCAGCTTGGGCTCAGCCGCTGTCTCTCAGAGGATACAAACACTTATGGAATACTTGCAGGTCAATTTATGCCAGTTGGCCTCAGGGCTAGAGAATGGAGACCAGACCCTTTTTTATTTATTAATATGGATGTTGACTAAAGGCCTTATTCAAACTACCCTCTGTTCACGCACACCCCCTGCTGTTAGTAACAGCTTCCTGGGGATAAAAACAGACTAGAACAAAGTCTTGCGGCTGGATTTACAGAACAGCATAAAACTTGACCACAAGTGACTAATTAAAGCAACATTTACTCAAGAACTCTCAAAATGTTTCTGCAAAACTTGCAGATACACCATTTGCAAACTGGTTTGCTTTTTGCTGTATGTGATCTATTGTTTTAATGAATGGAGGCACACGTACATCTTTTTTTTCTATTTTTTATGGTATCATGAGGTTTGTGCTGTTTTTCAAGACTTTTGGAATTGGTCCCAATTATTCCCAATGTCTACTTTGCTTATTTGGACCATAAGCTCTCTGATGCAAAGATTGTCTCTTCCCCACATATATTTATTTCTTGGAAGGGTCAGAAACACATAACCAGGACAGGCGGTCTCCAGTTAACCTGAAGTTTCTTCATGCCACAATAATGATAATACTTAGAAGCCAGACCTTGTTTTACAAATAGTCAGGACACTCTGAGATGCAAGGAATCAGTTGGAACATATATACTTTGTTTTGCAACTTCTCTTAAGAAACAAAGCTTTCAATCTGGACACACACGGAGCTGTACTTTCCTTGCCACCACCATTGATAATGGTAACAGTCTGCAGGCAATATCCTTTTTGCTATGCATCTGATTAGGTAGAAATTCCTCTAGGCTTCACCTAATCAAATGCAAGTGCTGCATTATTTATGAAAGAAAGCTGAATTTCATTAAACTTATTCTACAAGAAGCAGTTCATGTAAAAAAATCAGTTTCACCTTTCTTTTAGAAATCAGAATAATTTTCTTTAAAAACCTACATTCACAGGTGATTATAATAGAAGTCTTGAAACGGCAAAATTACTTTAAAAAAAAAAAGGAAACCAACCCATAAAAGTATATTTTAAATCAGGCTGGGATTTCATTTCTAAAGAAAAGACAAGTGGGATGTTTCCTTGTTGCAGAATGAATAATTCAAATGATTCCTCCAGTGCTGCATCTGCAATTGTCAGAATAAATTTAAGCAGCTTTCCCTTTAACTATTACAGGTATACACTGCACAAGAACTCCCGTTAGTAATTATCCCCGCTTCTTTTAGGCTAGTGAAATTCCCTCTAATACCACTGAACAAAAAAGCCTTATTGACTCGCACAGTCAAGAGATTTCCCATTTCACAAGAAGATACCAGGCATAAAACATATATAGTCATCAAAACGCTGATGACCATTTATTTTGCTTTTTAATTTAATGCTGTTATTACCTGAAACATTAGTTAAGAAAAAAATTGAAGGGTTTTGTTTGGCAACATATCTGAACTACAAGACAATTTCAGAAAAAAAGAGTAAGGGAGGGAATTTGTTGTCATGACTACAACCTATAATCCACCAAGAATTTTAATTCTTTTAATTCAGATTGAGAGAGACCACTTAAACAACTGGCACGCTCTGCTCGCAGTCCTGCCTTTAAATGGCCCTTGGGCTGGTGCCAGAAGTATTCAGGGGGCAAAAGGCATTAGCGTGACAAC